CCGGCTTTCGCCGTGCCCGCTCTCCCGGCGTGCTGTCGGATGAGGTGTGCCGTTTGGGGCGGGAGAAGGACGGTCCTAGAAGGCCGGGGTTCTTAAGGAAGCACGGGGCGGGGGGTGGAAGGAAGCCTCTCGCTGTCAGTAGCTGCTGCTGTTCGCATCAAACCCCCTCCTGCCGCCTTCCCTCGCGGTGGTGCCGGAAGGGTCGGACGCACACTTCTTTCTGGGGAAAAAGCTGCGGTTTTTCGGAGCGCTTTCCCCTTCTGGAGGTTGTCGGGCCGGTGTCTGGAGGGCGAGTGAGCCGAGACCGCGCCGGGCCCTCGTCCAGGGAGCAGGCTGGGGTTCTGAGCCTTCCCAACGCTGCCGCAGCCGCCCTCGGCGCATCTTCGGCGCATGCCTCCTGCTCGACTCCGCCGCTGTGCTCTGCCAGCCCTTCGGCTTCGGGGGGACGGTGGAGGGTGATGCTCCCCTCCTCGAGAGGAAAGGTTGCGGTTGCAGACGCTTCCCTTGGGCAGCATGAAAAAGCGTGAACCTTCTCCCTTCCGCACTGCGTCCCTTCCCGCGTGTGAAGCTAATTAAGGTAACGCCGCTCTTCGGGGCCTCCTTATCGCTGAGGGCACGTTAGCAGCGCCTAGATAAGAGCTTGTTTAACTTGCCTGCGCGACTGAGCAGATTGGCTTTAAAAATGGAGGCGGCTGGTTAATGACTGGGAAGGGAATTCCCTGAAGAGCACTGCTGCGACCGTCACTCTGCTCCGGGTTTCCCCTCTTTGGGACCAGAGTCCTATTTCCTTAACGGTGTCCAGAATTAAACTGGAAGAGTGTGTGCATAGCGAAGAAAATAGTTAACACGGGGCGCTGCGACGTGAGGCTCAGTTCGGCAACAGGCTGCAAATTCAGCAGTAGCTTCAAGCGCATCTGGAAGGCCACGAGGGTCCTGTTGCCAAAAACAACTGACGCAGTCAGCACGGTATCGCCGTGGCATCTGTCTGGCGGGGGCTTGGTGCATCTCGGGGACCTTCTGCGTGCAGGGCGTGATCCAGGTGAACGCCGTGACGGCTGCATCGGGGCTTTTTGTAAAGGGTTTGGGTGTTTTTCCTCCCCTTTTGGAATAGAAAGGTGCCTTGAACTCACGCTGATCCTGCTGCTGTTGGATGGAGGTAGTAGTTGGGACGTCCCCCAGCTCCAGGAGTAATCAGTGGTGTATTTAACTATTCATGCCGGTTTCTCATTCTAGCTCAAACCCTCATAATTTAGTCGTGTGCTCCCTGTGGGTCCGGGAAGGCAGAGCTGTGCCAGTTTGGGTTCGGAAAGCTTTTCTCACCCCAGTGAGCCTCTTCTCCTCCCCGCAGGTCTACAATGTTTACATGGCGGGCCGCCAGCTCTGCTCAAAGCGGTACCGGGAGTTTGCCATCCTGCACCAGAACCTGAAGCGGGAATTTGCCAACTTCACTTTTCCACGTCTCCCGGGGAAGTGGCCGTTCTCTTTGTCGGAGCAGCAGCTGGATGCCCGGCGGCGAGGGCTGGAGGAGTACCTGGAGAAAGGTACGGAGCTGGGAGCTGTATGCCGCCTTCTCGCGAGCGGGGAAACAAGTCCTCGGGGTACATCCTTCCACGGGTGGCCCAGACCTTCACGGGCATTTGCTTACCTGTGAGGGAGAGAAGCTCGTTTGTAGCTGGATATTGGATTTTACGGCTGAAGTGGTGAGAGGGAGCTCAGGCTTGCCACGGCTTGATGCGCGTGTTACCGGCTTGCAGCGCACTTCCAAGAACAAAATGCATCATTTTTTTTTTTTAACGGACAACGAGCTTTTACTTATAGGTCGTATTGCTCGCCAGTAATCCTGGAGATGAGGGAGCACGGGGAGGAGGAAGAGGAGGGAAGCTTTGGAGCAGGGAGAAAGTCGTGTTCGAGGCCGTTCTCAGCAGAGGAGCTCAGCTCAACCTGAGCCTGCTCACGGCTGAACACTTTGGTCCTTTCTAATCGGAATTGCGATGCCTGCAGCGGGGGTTTCCGTTAGGTTGACTTCAGATGTCAGGGAAGAGGATGTAAAACGCTAACTCTGTGTCGAGGTGCCTGGCTAAAAGATCCGACCCCGTATTTTGCAGTGAAGAAGTTGTAGATGGGATTCGGGGAGCGATGACCCCTCATTCCTGTGATGCCGTGTTGTTTTCTTAGCTGCCTGGAAACAGCTCAATTAATTGTGTGCGCTAACAGCCTCTTTCCTTACCCAGGGAGCAAAGCCCCCTCTTCCTGTAGGATGGACATGGGTCAGGTTTCCCCCACCCCGCTGACCTCAGCCCTGCCTTGCCCAGATCGCTCCCCCTCTCCTCGGCTGGAGGAAGGGGCAGGCTGGTTGCATCTTCGAGGCAGCATGATGGTTCGGGTCCAAATTATTTGCTGAACTTGGCCTGAATTCCCAGATAGTTTCAGTCCCTCTAGAATAAGGTTTTTGTGGGTTTTTTTGGTTTTGTTTTGCTTTTTTTTTGAGAGGCAAAAGTACTGTTTATGAAATTCTTGCTCGCTTTTAAGTATAGTGTAAACCTCCTGTTGGCCGGGTGCCTGGGGCCTGGATTTCCCCCAGGGGGAATATCTCGGCGAGTTACTCAACTCCTCTTGTTGCTTGCTGTTGTAGGGGATTTGGGCGGGATCAGTCTTTGTGCCAGGACACCTGATGCAGCCCGGAAAGCACTTGCTTTGGGAAGGTGTTTCCAGGCTGGAGATGCCACCCTTGTGTCCGCCGCCCGCGAACAGACCCTTGTTGCTTCCATGCCGCCTTTGGGGTGGTCCTGGGAGGGAGGGTTCCCCCTTTGCGCGGGCACCCCGCTAACCTGCGCGCTCTGTCCTGCAGTGTGTTCGATACGTGTCATTGGGGAGAGCGACATCATGCAGGAGTTCCTGTCGGAGTCGGACGAGGTAGGCACACAGGCGACGGCGCGGAAGCTCTGCCCGTGACCTTCCCTGTTACACAGGCCGTAAATGCTTGGTCAGACTGGATCCGAGAGCAGAGACGTGACCTGCCAAAGCTTCAGGTGGTTGAATGGAGAACCGTGGCAGACGATCAAGGCTGCAGTTGGACTGTCATGGCACACAGGAAACCTTTTCTCCATAGCAGCAGCTACGAGCGGCTTTGCCACTGCTTTCGGAGGTGTGCCCGGGGCAGACCCCGCCGCGAGGCCTCGCTGCGTGCCCTGGCGCTCGGGCAAGGGCGGACCCAGCAGAAAATGCATTTGCTGGCGTTGCTGCTGGTTGCTGTGCCGGTGCAGCCCAGGCAGCTTTGCATCCCTGAGCTGTCTGTGTTCGCCAGCCGGGAAGGCAACGGGCCCTCCGAACACCAGTCTGACTCGCTCCCCCAAGACCCGAGTTGCTGTTTGCTCTTCAACTGTTGCTCTTTCTTCCAACCTTTCCACGGTGCGTTCAGTAGTCGTGTCCCAGAGCTTTCTCTCGCTCTTCGCTGGCAAGCCTGTGAATGGAAAATCTTACCCTGTCGTGGTCTTGAAGCGGTTTGCTCAGCTTCCCGTCTCGGAGCGGAGCTCACATCTTCCTTCCTTCAGAATTTCTCGGGTGCGGACTGGAACTGGATTCTTGAGGCATGCGGAGCGGTTGGTTGTTAGAAGTGACCATTTTAATTAGCCAGTGCCAGGCAGTAAATAGTCTGTAGAGCTCGGGGCTCAGTTCGTGTGATGCTGATTTCTGTCCTCTCTTCTTCCCTCCTGCAGAATTACAACGGCGTCTCGGACGTGGAGCTCCGAGTAGCATTACCAGATATAACGACAGTGACAGTCAGAGTCAAAAAGAACAGCACTACAGACCATGTGTACCAGGTGAGCTACTTCTTTTTTTTACCTTACCTGGAAGATTAACGTGATTCGGACGTTAGGCAAGACCCTGTGGGCACCCACTTGCTTCTCTCCGCTCCTCTCAAGTGCAGCTGGGCATCCGTGACGCTGCTTTGCTGTAGCAGGGAGAGGACAGGGATGCTGGAAAACTCTAACCTTACGCCGTGCTGAAGCGGCGTTTTCGCTGGCAGGGCTGGCTGCAAGGACAGAGTCATCGCTGAATTAATTTTCACTGGTAATGTTGTAAAGCCGGCGGATGGCTCTGAGCACTAGGCGGGTTGTGTGTCACGGCTTGCAGTGGCGGTGGTGGAGGAGTTGGATCCATGAGGTGCCAGCAGCCAACACAAGAGTCTCCCTGTGGCTGTGTGGTGGGACAGCAACTTGAATATTAAGGGTAGTGAGCCTTTTGGGGAGTCCTCTGGCCAGATAACAGCTTTGCAAGTGGCCGGAGGCCCAGTCCTTTAAGTGGAAAACTAAGGAGAACTGACTTCAGCCAGCACTGCGGGACGAAAAGCGGAAGCTGTCAACGGATTAGGGGGAATAAGGCGGTGCAGGGGACACCCATCATGAAAGGGGAACTAAAAATGCTGCTGCAAGCGCGGGAGCCGGAGAGCTGTGGAGGAGCAGGCTCTCGGGAGCTCCAGACCCGCAAGCAGCATCGTGCGGCTGGATGGGACGCGTTTGGGGCACAGCCTGCTGAATTTCACGTCACCTCCGACGAGGTCTGTGAGTTTCGGCTGAGGTGTTAGCCTGCAGGACCAAAGCGTTGTTGGGGAAAACTCCTAGGGAAGGCGTGCGCGCCTCTTCTATTAGGAACTGACGCTGGAGGCGTCAGAAGAAGAGATGACCTAATTGTCAGCCGTGGTGGCACTTAAAATCTAGAGCAGTTTACAGGAAGGTGAAAGCAGGAGAGATGAAGAAAACGTCTGGTTTTACTGGGAGAGTAGAACTCGGCTTTTCTGTGGTGACTAACACCTCGGGTTAGGGAATAACATGTATGAAGCCAGCCTCACCCCGGCGCGGGGCAGACAGCTGCGGGCTCCCGTTTTTTTCACCCCGTTTTCTTGTTCGGTTGCTCTTTAGGCTGTGGCTGCCAAAGTCGGAATGGACAGTATTACCGCAAACTACTTCGCCTTGTTTGAAGTGATCAATCACTCCTTTGGTAAGTCTTTTAATGCCCTCGGTGCTGACCAGCGACTGAGGAGAAAGCTCGGCAGCGCTGGCAGAGCCCGGGGGCTCTCTCTTACCTCTACTCGCAAAATCGGGAGCCCCTGGGGGGAACGGGGCAGGCACAGTAGGCTCTGATAATGAGTTCAGTGGCTTTTTTTGTGGCTGTGTTTTGAGCAGGTCGGGGAGGCGAGCTTTTTGTTAAGCCGAGAGATGCATTTTCCTTTAGTTCAAAGGGTCCAGCGAGCTTAGAAAAAGCAGGCAGTGTCACTGCAATGCAGCTGCCTCTGAGAGGTGGCACCAGCAGTGGCTTGGGACAGGTTTTTTTCCTTTGCTGGGAAGGAAAGTGGATCGGGGGCACACGCTGTCTGTATATGCATAGATGTGGGTCGATGTCCAGGTCCTGGAGGGGATGTGCTGCAAGCTGCACCTTAGCTCCTCGTCTCTCCTTCTGTGGTTGAATCCTGGTGGTATTTGAGGCTTGACTGTGGGCTCTGGGCACTGAAGTAATTGCCGTCCCTCCAGCTTAGCACGTGCTGGGGTCTCCTGGCTGCTGTTCAGATCTCTGGCCGCAGCAACCTCTGATTTTGCCCGGCTTCACGTTGGGTTCACTGAAGCTGTAGAGAGGCCAGAATGTCGCGGTCACACCACGAAATGGGTGTAGTGGCTGGTTTGGGTTTTCTTTTTTCCCCTGTGTGCTGGGTTTTAAGCCAAGTGTATTTCTCATTCCCAGCTGGGTACCTTTGTTTCTGGATTGTCATCTCTATATGCCTCAAACTCGTCCTGTTGTTACAGCAAACTGTGCCTTGTAGGAAGAGATTTCTTGGGCTATTCCTCACAAGATTCTGGCTGAACGGTTGGGGCAATTTTTAACTACTTAAAACCCTCCTAAAATGACTCATCTCACAGAACAGGCTGGGTTGGCATTCAGATGCTGACCCTGGGGCAGCCAGGATCAGCAGCCTCCTGTAAAACTGTTGGCACCGCAGGACTGCCTCTGCCATCGGGTTTGTGGTTGCTTTTTGGGGGTTACCGGGAGCAGGACACGGCCATAGTGAGGGAGGACCGGGGCTGGGGGGTCAACCTGCTTTGAGATTGCCGAGGCCAGGCAGGGCTGGGAGCCTCCAGCGGGAATTCCAGCTCTTGGGAGATGGACGCTGCAGCACGCTGGCACAGTCTCATGCAGGAAGCTTTTACGGTGCCAGACTCCAACTGGAGCTATTAATTCCTCGTTCCTGTGAGTGCTGCATTGCTCAAACGGCACTGGAAAGTAAAAACTCCACTTAACCTTTATGACTTTTGCTTTCTGGATGCTCACGGTGAACAGCCATTTATTCCTCTCTGGATATGCTCCATTTAATTTCTCTGGAAACCGTAAGCTCCATCTGCAGTAAGACAGTGACCGTATCCATCCCTGGTGAAGGAGACGTGCTGCCACTCGCCTTTTTTGTCCATTGTCGCTGGGTAAAGCCTATTTCAACACAGTAAACGACCCGCCGGGGGCTCGGCTGCTCCAGCTTGGCTGAGCAGCGCAGCAGGGTTTGTCTGGGCTCTGGGGGCAGCCTGCCGGGGCTGGGGGGACCTTCCCCAGTCCCCCCAAAGCTGTGGGGACAGTGCGTGGGTCCTACGGCTTAGGCAGGGTGGGCGTCCCTGCGTGCAGCAGGGGACGAGGTCAGGCTGTTGTGCTGGTGCTTGAGAGCCGCGCTGAGCGCGCCGGCGGCCGAGAGGGGTTCGGTCTCGTGCAGATGCCTGCAGGACCAGCGTGGTCCGACACCGTGGAAGCAGGTATTGAAAAAAAGCTGGATTCGGTCAGGGAGGAGGGGCCGTGGAGCAGAGCTGGGGTCCTGGTCCCGGCTGGCTCGGCTGAAGGGCGTTGCCGATGTTGACTTGCGTGGCGGCCACGCTGCGGTCACAGACGCCGCTGCTGACGCTGTGCGGGGCTGCGCGCTTACCTCGATGTCTTGTGCTCTTTCCCAGTGCGCAAGCTGGCGCCCAACGAATTCCCCCACAAACTCTACGTGCAGAACTACACCTCGGCGGTGCCGGGAACGTGCCTGACCATCCGAAAATGGCTCTTCACTACAGAGGAGGAGGTTCTCCTCAATGACAACGACCTGGCAGTCACCTACTTCTTCCATCAGGTAGGTGCCCAAGAGCTGTAATTTCTTACTGGAGGGAAGGCAACGCAAGTGCCTGGCTCCCAGAACTGCTCCAAACACCGCTGTCCTTTGGCATGCTGGCAACGGAGTGTGACATCCAGGGCCAGCCCTGCTTGGGTAACTTCAAGGAGTAGAAGTCCACGGTTGGGTGAATTGGCAGTGCCGTGGTGGACTTGTGGCCGAGTCACAGTCAGACGGTGTCCTGGTTGCAGCCAGGATAGAGTTGGTTTTCTTCACAGAAGCTAGAGTGAGGCTATGTTTTGGATTTGGGATGAGATGATGTTGATAACGTGCTCTCACTGCGGGAAGCTGCCTTCCCAGCACCGCTCTCCAGCAGCTCAGTGGGTGAAAGCCAGCGCTGCTCTGCTGGAGACGACTGTGTCTGGCGTGGAAGGGTTGTACCAGCCTGTCCTCGCCTGTGCCTGAAGGCAAAAGCAGGATGCCAGGTACCAGCACTTCCAGATCCATCCGCTTTTGCCAAGGGACACTCGTCAGAAGTCTTCCTAGACGCTTAGGCATCAGTGTGCTCCCCGAGGCAGTCAGAGGCTTGTGGCAGGAGTGGGCGACTGTGAAGAACCAGCCCTCTGAGCCTGGCCATCCCTCTGCCTCTGCGGGTACGCTGGTCACCTTCTGGGGCTGTGAATTTGGGTGGCTGTCAAAGCAGCCTCAGGGCCAGCCAGGGAAGGCGAAGCGTTGTGACTCAGCGAAGAGATCCTCTGGTCTGACCTGGGTTTCCTTTCCCTCTTTCTGTTTAGGCTGTTGATGATGTCAAGAAAGGCTACATCAAAGCAGAGGAGAAGTCCTACCAGTTACAGAAGCTGTGTGAGCAGAGAAAGATGGTCATGGTGAGTTATCCTGCCTGTCCTGTTTGCTTTCCTTCCTGTTTGCAATGCTGTGCCTGGAAAGGAGACACTGGAACAGAGTGCCCAGCAAAGTTGTGGGTGCCCCATCGTTGGAAGTGTTCGAGGTCAGGCTGGACGGGGCTTTGAGCAACCTGATCTAGTGAAAGATGTCCCCGCCCATGGCAGCAGGGTTGGCCTAGACGATCTCCAAAGGGCGCTTCCGAGCCGAACCGTTCCCTGATTCTACCCACACAGCCTTGAAAAACACTTCTTTCTTGGAAAGCAGTAACGATGGCGAGCTGTGGGGTGTGGGCTTAGCACAGGGGGGACTGGCAGGGCGTGCAGACCCGCAGGAATGCCGGGGCCGGGCGGGGGCGTGCCCGAGAGTCAGCTGCTGCACGAACCTAAACCGCCCCTCGTGCCTGGCACGCTTGAACAGCGGCTCGTCCTTGGCAAGATCACCCATTGACTCGGCTCCAAACAAGGCAGCGATAAAACCTTGTGGGTTATCGCTGGTGGTGAAAGGTGAGGCGCTTAACATGCGGTGTGGCAATCCTTCCCCTGCAGCCCTTCGGGGGCAGCTGTTTCTTCCTAGTAATTGAGAGGCAAAGGTCTCTTTCTGCATCAAACTGGCTCTGAGATGGTGCTGCTGGGCGAGCCGAGGCAGGGGTGCGTCCCTGCCCGCCCGTAACATGAGTCGCTGACCCCTCTGTGCCTTAGTTTCTCTTTTTTTTTTTTTCCTTTGTCCGGCAGCAGTCTTCACGAATTGCAAATTCTGCATCAGAGCTCACTGTCTGGTCTGGGGATTTTCTGCCTCTTATCGCTTCGCCCAGCAAACGCCTGGGGGCTCGGCATGGCTCGATGAGCCTGCCTGGCTTGGGCTGGGGGAGCGAAGGGGATGCCCTGAGCTCATCTGCCAGGTGCAAGCTGGGCTTGAAGATCAAACAGCAAAAGGATCTGACTTGTAAATAACGTCCTGGGTTGCTCGGGGCTGCTGGTACCGAGTGAACGCGGGCTGCCCTTTCCCCGACGCCCCTTCTCCAGTTTGGCTGGTCTTGGTGGGGCCTCTCCCCAAAGCCCGTTCGCTTGCGGCAGCTCTCAGAGGTCCCTGCTGGGGGACTACCTGGGGGTGGACCCCGGAGGGTGACCCGAAAGGCTAAGCCAAGAAGGTGAATTATTAACTGATGATAAGGCTCGGTAAATAGACGCTTCCTCCTGCGGGCTGTCTCACGGCTCTTCTGTTTCTGCTCATGCCGCTGGCTTTCTAATGACCAGAGAAAGATCTGAGCCCTTGGAAAGGGTATATCCCAGCATACATATACACGTAATATATACGCAGCAGCAGCAGTAGGGCCCTGGTCTAGCAGGAGGTCAAGAAGACAACGAGAGCCCGTGAAGTCAAAGTGCTTCATCCTCTACCTCCCCCCGTGTTATTAAGGGTCCTTGTTGGAGCACAACACTTGAGAATTTGGCACCTTCCTCCGGTCTGGATGTGGCTTGTTCCTTGGTTAAAAAGTCCTGTCAGATTTTGTTGTAGTTCTGCCCTGCGTAAACCTTTCTCGTGCAACGAGAGGTCGTGGGGCTGTGGAGCAGCTCCTGGCTTCTCCCTTGCCTCGAGCTGTGACTCTGAGCTCCCAGCGCTTCTCCGGCGTCCTCGCAGTGCTGCTTTGGGCTACGCTCAGAAAGAGAAAAATGGCCAGAATACCTCTTTGGACCTTTTCATGAGTCGTAGCATTCGCATCGAAGGACTCTTGAGAAACCCGGATCCCACGTCTGCCCGACAGCCTCTTTTTCCGGCCTCGTCCTCAGCCTGTAACGATGAGGAGGATGGCTCTAGGGAGAGCGGGGCTTTCGGTCCCCGGGCTGCCTTAGCTGCTTGCCCAGTACCCTTCCCAGAGGAGCACGGTCATGCCCATCGGCGACTCCGGCTGCACCGGCTCTCCTGGAAAGGGCTTTCGGCGTTTGAGGCCATGAGGAGCTCCGTGCATGTTTGTACCTGGGTGCATCCACGTTTTGGGAGGCGGGGAATTGAGCAGCTGGAGGGGTCTCCTCCCTTCCCTTAGCACAGCCTTGCTGCCTGTGGGGTTTTGGCTTCCTTTGGAGGGGATCCAGCCTCCCCGGGCTGGGGTGAAGCCAGGGATTTCCAGCGGGGCGATCAGCACCAGGGCGAGCGAGAGGTGGAGGCGGCGTGAGAAGCGGGAGGGTGCAGCGGTGCCCTCCCCTCTGCCCGAGCAAGCTGACGCCCGCGGCTTTCTCTCCGCAGTATTTAAACATGTTACGGACGTGTGAGGGTTACAACGAGATCATCTTCCCCCACTGCTCCTGCGACTCTCGGCGGAAGGGGCACGTCATCACGGCCATCAGCATTAAGCACTTTAAACTCCACGCCTGCACGGAGGAGGGCCAGCTGGAGGTGAGGGGGGCTCTGCTGGGGGTCCCGGGGAGCTGGGCTCAGCCCCCGGCCGCCACCTCTGTCGCCACCGCACCAGCACCCTGTCCCCGAAGCTCTGGGGCTCGGGACAGGCCTCCAAAGGGGTTTTGGCAGCGGCTGGG